ATATATGCAAAAAATAAGGTTAAATATAATGAAGGGATAGAATGTGAATATAACAATGAAAATTTGAAAAACTATTTTAAAAAGATATTGATAAGATAAAATACTTAAAAATTAAAATCAGAAAGGAAAAATTAAAAAAAATAGCATAAGAAAAAATATAATTAAAAAAATGTTAACTTTGAAAGACTAAAGAATCATGTGAAAGAAGCCATGAATTCTATGTGTTGCATTGCCCTAGCTCTGGAGTTCTATGATTCTCATTGATTGGTGAACTTGGTCTTGGCTGGATGTTCTTGCTGATCTTCTGGGGGGAGGGGTCCATAGCAGTGATTCTCAAATGTCTTTGCCGGAGGCGAATTGCACCTCCCTTGCCAGGGACGAGGCTAAGTAATCTGCTCGGGTTCACTCTTGGAGTTTTTGTTCCCTGAATGCTTACCATAGCACTTTGGAGGACAGGAATGAAAAGGGTGGTGGCCCAATCTCTAGCCCTATAGGAGCTGAGAGCTCAGTCCCCCACTCCTCAGTGTGCCCTTAGATAAAAGCAGTCAATCCTCCCATCTCCCTCATCTCTGGCTGTGCTCCATGGTCACCCAGTTTGTGACAGAACATTTCTATCTCTGGTGCATGGCCCTGTTTGGAGTCTCCAAATCCAGCAGATTCCTGCAATGTGCTCCCATGCCACTCCCCCTGGGGGAGCCAGGTGGGGATCTCCCCAGATCTGCCACATTTGGGGTCCCTGCTTGGAGAGCAGTGCCTTGGATCATGGTTTAAGGTAATCTTGAGCTGAGAGTCCACTCCTTGTCTCCATCTTTGCAGCCGGCTTCCCTGCTCCAATACCTGGGAGCTCTGCCACATTAAGACATTCCTGGTCTTTTTGTGACCCCATGGATCCTGAGACCAGACTGTTCCTATGAGGGCTTCACCCCTCACTTAGCCTCTGGAGCGACATCGCTCAGTGGAGCAGACTTCTAAAAGTTCTGATTTTGTGTTCCTCTGCTCTCATTTGCTGGGAGTTGGCCCCTTCCCCTGTGGTATCACCTCAGATTCACTTCTCCACATGTCGTACCTTCCAGAAAGTCATTGATTTTCTTTTCCTAGAATTGCTGCTCTTCTCTTCTATCTCCTATTGAGTTTTTAGGTGTTCAGAATGGTTTAATAACTATGTAGCTGAACTCCTGGGACACGACAATATTCAGGGTCCTTTGCCATCTTGCTCCTCCCTCTGTAGGAAGAATTCTAAAGATGTTCCTCCAAAATTCCTGTCCCCTAATTATTCAATTAAACATTAATTTAGGTATTCCTGCAAAGGGACTTTGCAGATGAAACTAAGGTTGCTAATCAGGGAATATTAAGATTGAGAAATTATCCTGGGCACATTTTTTAATTCTAAAATAACCAGTAAAAGAAAAATGTAAAAAGTACATAGTTGTCATGACAATAAAAGAAAATTGAATAAGAAAGAAAGATCAATCCAAAGGATGGCAAGAAAGGAGAAAAACTGGCATAAAAGGGACTTAGGCAAGCAGAAAGTCAATAGGAAGATGATATGTGACAACCCAGCTATATTAATAATTTCAAGTTGACTAAAAGGCCCCCTTAAAATACAGAGATTATTAATATAATTGCAAATAAATATAAACCAAATGATATTCTTTGAAATTAGTTGGAATATTTTAAGGCCTAGGACATGATGATTTTGTTAATGTTTCATGAATGGTTGGGAAGAATGTTAAGTTCTCTATAGTCAATTTAGAATTGTATGGATGTTTAATGGGTCAAACTTATTTGAGTCATTCAGTTATCTTATATTTTTATTATATTTTGTCTGAATTTTGACCCATCAATAATTATAAAAGGTGTATTCAAATTTCCAACTCTGGTGGTGCTTATGTCAATTTTCCCCTACATTCCTACAATTTTTGTTGATATATTTTTAGTATACTTGATAATATAAGTATGTGTTTAGAATGAAACTGAGGAAATTGTTATTTTGACATCTCCCATCTTCAGGACTTCCATAATATTAATATTGGCAAATACTGTTAAGTTAAAATTTAATTCTGGGTTATTAGAAATACACACTGTCATTGTTTCATTTAGTCAATTTTTCCTACATTTAAAAAATCTTTCCCAAGATATTTGATTATGATTACTTCCAATGTCATTTACCAGTATCTCCTATTTCCCTTATCATTTGGTTGCTTCTGTGAAATACCTTTCCAATATGGATCTTGATGTCAAACCTTCTTTGAACTTATATACTTAATAAAAAATTTAATGGACAGCCACATGCAGAAGATTGAAACAAGACCTCTTTCTTACACCATATACAGAAATAAACTCAAATGGATGAAAGACCTAAATGGAGACAGAAATCCATCAAAATCCTAGAGGAGAGCACAGGCAGCAACCTCTTTGACCTCAGCCTCAGCAACTTCTTGCTAGACACATCTTCAAAGGCAAGGGAAACAAAAGCAAAAATGAACTACTGGGACTTCATCAAGAAGAAAAGCTTCTGCACAGCCAAGGAAACAGTTGACAAAACTAAAAGGCAACCTACAGAATGGGAGAAGATATTTGCAAATGTCTTATTAGACATTTTATAGATAAATCTATAAAGAACTCATTAAACTCAACACCCAAAAAGCAAAAAAAAAAAAAAAAAAAAAAAGCTAAGAAATGGGCAGAAGACATGAACATTCTCTATAGAACATATACAAATGGCTAACAGACACATGAAACAATGCTCAACATCACTTGGCATTAGGGAAATACAAATCAAAACCACAATAAAATACCACCTCACACCTGTCAAAATGGCTAAAATTAACAACTCAGGAAACAACAGATGTTTGCAAGGATGTGGAGATAGGGGAACACTCCTACACTGTTGGTGGGAATGCAAACTGGTACAGCCACTCTGGAAGACAGTATGGAGTTTCCTCAAAAAGTGAAAAATAGAACTACCCTATAACCCAGCAATTGTACTAATAGGTATTTATCCAAAGGATACAAACACTGTGATTTGAAGGGGCTCCTGCACCCCAATGTTTCTAGCAGCAATGTCTAAAACAGCAAAAATATGGAAAGAGTCCAGATGTCCATCAACAGATGAATGGATAAAGAAAATGTGAAAAATATATACATAGTGGAATATTACTCAGCCATCAAAAAGGATGAAATCTTGCCATTTGCAACGATGTGGGTGGAACTACAGGGTCTTAGGCAAAGCAAAATAAGTCAGTATGAGAAAGACAAATACCATACGATTTTATTCAGATATGGACTTTAAGAAATAAAACAGATGAATATAGGGGAAAAGAAGAGAAAATAAAAGACAAAAACAGAGAAGGAGACAAACCATGAGAGTCTCTTAAGTATAGGAAATAAACAGGGTTGCTGGAGGGGAGGTGGGTGAGGGGATGGGGTAACTGGGTGATGGACATTTAGGAGGACACTTGATGGAATGAGCATTGTGTATTATATACAACTGATGAATCACTAAATTCTACCCCTGAAACTAATATATGTTAATTAAATTGAATTTAAATAAAAAATTTAGAAAAGAAAAAAGTTTAATCATGTCCTGGCATTTGAATAATATTTCAAAGTTCTTTTCAGTCAACACTTTGAATAACCCACTGATTTCACCCATCCAGTATGGCTCTTGCTGTCAGTTGGGCTCTTTTTCCTTGATAGGTGATCTCTTGCAGATTTCAGAATTTTCTGTTCACTGTCATTTTCAATTTCAGATTTGCTTTTCCTTTAATGCCCCATTTTTAACATACGGGTCCTTTCTAAGGTCATTTTCTTATTTTTTAAATCAAGAGAAACTTTCCTATTATCCTTTTAAATATTTTCTTCTATTTTAATTTTTCTCTCCTTCAGGAAATGCTAATATCTAGATAATGACAGTTCTACTCTTCAACCTCAATTTTATTATTTCACTTTCTATTTTTTAATTCTTTTTTATTCTTTCCTCGGAGAGTTTGTCAATCTGCTATTACAAGTTGCTAATTCATTAAGTAGTATATATCCATCCTGCTATTTTCCTATTTATTGTGACTTATTTCTTGTTCACGTGGTTCTTTTTAATGATCATTTGTTACTGTTGTATTCTGCAAATAGCTTCCCTTAGTTTTTGGGATAGTGAAACAATTTTAAAGTGAATTTACAGACATGTTTTTGACATATATTAGAGCAAAATTGTACTTAGTGTGGGGTGTGGCTGTAATGTTTTTACTATCATGTGGGTTAGAATCTGTGAAGGAAAGAATGCCTATAGACTCCAAATATCAAACTGTTCTTGCTCCTCATAAAGGCAGGATGCAGTAAGGTCTAATCAAAGTGGTAAAAACTAGGGGCTTCAGGAAAACTAGTGTGTCAATAATAATTTGAGATAGTAAAGGAGATTGTTTGGAAGAGTCTGTATTTGACAAGAGATTGTACTGGGGTCTTCTGTATCCAACAGCTGTCCCATAATGGCTTATCGAACCAACTTGAGTTTATTAAAAGGCAACGGTTGTTTTTTTTTTTTTCCTCCAAATATAAATATTTCACTTGTTTGGATGATATGTATATGTAATAGGAAGAGACTAACTTGCTATCATTTTTATCTTTCTTCTTTCTCTTCGCTGAAGCTAGAAATTACTTCAAAAATCGTTGGTCTAACTACAACATATAAACGAAAGCCTCAACCAGGCACGACTCTCATCTGAGAATCGAAAATTTCAGTCTTTTCTTCCTTAACAGTAAGCCCAAAGAGTGTGGGCGTTGACAGTCCGTCCTTGAGCTCTCCCCGGTCTGCCTGCGGTTGCAGGTGACTGAGCTAAGCCACCTCCAGGGGCAGCAGAGCGAGCGCAGAGCCCTGGGCTTTCCAGAGGCAGCGCAGGCGCTTCCCTCTCCGGGAGCGCACTGGCAGCCTGCGCGAGCTGCGCCTCCAGCTCCGCAACGCTTCAACTGTTGTTACAACGCCAGCCCGACTCCAAGACAGCGAAGCCATGTTCCTTCTTCTGGTCCTTCTCACCGGACTTGGAGAGCTGCACGCAGATCCCGGTAAATCCAGATGCTTGTTACCTCTTGCTAGCCAGGCTTGCGGGGGCTGGGGGCGAGGGCGGGGGCGGGGGCGGGGCGGACTGCCTTCGCTTAGAGAATGAATGCTTTAGTCCAGGCCACAGGCCCAGACCTTACCCCGGCCCCACGCCATCCCTACCCACTTTCTTCTAGGCCCTCCTCGGCGTCTATGGCCAAAAAAGCAGAGGTAGCCTCCAGGCAGAAAATATTTTCACGTCTCTGGGATGGTATTCTTGTCTATAAAACGGACAAAAATGAAATAATGGGGTCATTAACACAGACAGAATTTTGCTATTCTGGAAATAATTGAATCGCCATAAAAAACCTATTTGTTAGTGATTCCCTGATTTGGTGACTGCTGTCCTCCACCCGCTCCATTGAAAATTTCAGATGACTATTGCATTTGGTATCCTGTATCTTTACCCTGCAAACCATCCCATTTTCTTGAACCTGTGTTTCTCTTTTCCACAGCTCTTTTACAATATCATAATTTGTTATTCGGTGTTACCTAGCCAAACTGTCAAAATTGCCTAACTGGGGGTCTCTCTCTCTCTCTTTCTCTATGTGTGTGGGCCTATCTGTGTGTAGAGATTGAGAGAGAGAGAAAATAAAAACTTGACATCTTGACGAGGGCCAAGAAATTTGTGGATAAGAACAACCAGATCAGAAACACAGTGGAAAAGAAGGGTAGATACATAGACTATACCAAAATATTTTGGTAATGTAGAAAAAGAAATGTGGGATTGAATTTAGAAATGGATAATGTAGGAGTAGGTTGAAAATAACTGCCTATTTTTATTTTAGGTCCTCATACAACATTTCTGCAGACCACAGTTCCAGAGAAGTTCTCATCATTTGATACAGAAGGAAATCCAGAAAATAATGTAATTGGGAAATGTTTTTATATCTTAAATTGTGTTAAGTTGCCTTTACTATCAAGACCAAAGTTGCTGAATGGAGGCAGGAACAGAATTCTTGGAGGTAGAGCTGGGAGCTGGAACTTGGTTCACAACAAGGAGCAATTTGAAGTGTATGAATATATGTGACTTTCTATGTGTGTGTTTCTGTAGATGTGAAGGATTTTAAGGATAGGATCCAACAGGGCCAGAATGAGGGAGAAGCAGCACTTGACTCAGAAAATTTAAGGGAATGGCAAAAAATGAATTTCCCCGGGACCAGGATTAAGGTATAGCCAGTGGGGTAAGTCAGGGTCAGATACTGTCTTTCTTTAAAACTTGATAACTAGTTCATCATGGATTTTTTCCTTCTAATTTTGATTGTCTAAAATATAGTATTGAAATAGTATTCTTTTTTTTTTTTTAATTGAGTTTTGCGGTCCTCTACTCCTAGCCCTCATGATTTCCTTCAACTACTTGCCTCAGCTTTCAGAGTCTGAGGAGCCTGAAAGATGATCTGTTAATTAGCTCGTAGAGGAGCCTGGATATTATTCTTCTCTATTTCCCCAGGAAAATCTACTTCTCACATGGTTCCTTCTACCATAGGATAATCTAATGCTAGTCATAATTGCAGGTCCCCAAATTAATTTTTTTCTTTTTCGTGGTTTTTAAAACCTTCCTTCTGTGTTTTACATAAGGATACACTGTATCAGGGTTCTCCCTCCCCTATTATCTCTAGTTCTCTGAAGGTAAAACTCTCCTCCCCATATTCTATTTCTCTACGTTTTCTTTCTGAGTAGGGGGTTTTAATTACCACCCACCCTCCCCTGCCCCCACCTACCACCCACCAAGTGAATTCTCAGTCATGCAAAGTATATGAGTGCCACTCCAGGGGGTTTTGTGTTGTTATTGTTGTTTTTTGTTTTTTTCTGATTGGAAAGAAGGAGCTCCGTTGGACTTCTTGTTTAGTTTCCTTCTTCCTGATATTAATAATCCCAACCTTCTCTCTCTTTTATTTATCACTGAGCACAGATGATCTTTGAGTTCACCACTTGTCCAATCTCTAGCATTTTTAAAAAGTAATTTAATAATATGAAAGTTCAATGTGTTTCTTTTAACTTTAACAATTTTAAAAGCTTTTAATATTTTTGCAACAGAAAAATATTCTTAATGTGGAATGTGATTGTATTTTAATATATTCAGTATAACATGAGGGAGGACCTGCAAAAGTAAGAATGCCTGGAAGGCACATAGAGACCTCCCAGATTTAAGAAATAAGAACATGGGTACCCAATTAATTCTGAATTATTTCTAATTGCCTATGCATATGTACAAAAAGATAAAAAAGAAGTATTGCATGGGGCATACTAAATAATTTTAAATACTAAAAATTATTTGTTGTTCATCTGAAGCAAATTATAAGTATTGTTGATTAAGAAAAGAGGTGGAATTGAACCATAAGAAAAGCATTTATTTGGGGTCTCAGAATTGCATTTCAAGAAGCACAGATTCAGTAGCAACCCAAATTGTGTCCCCCCAGGGAACAACAAAAAAGGGTTTTTAAGACAAAAAGGGGTGCTCCTATATGTTGTTGACAAAGAATTTTGATTAGTGTTAATGACAGAAAACTAATCTTGGCTGAATAGAATTGGTTGCTAAGACCATCACTAAGCAAAGCCTCTTCCTACAGCAAGTGTTTGATCTGAGTTATTGGAATATCAGCAGTTTGGCCCTGTTCACAGCTGTGGCCTAGTTCAGACATTCATGGTTCCACCCTGTGAAGATATGCATAAATCCCATTTCCTTAATGTCTTCCTGGATCCATTTTAAAGCCCCTTGACATAAGTGACTCCATCTGATTTCACCTTTCACAGTATCTAAATATGTACTTCTTTCTTGAATTGTATTTCCCTGATGATTTGACTTGCCTTATCAGTTCCTTGTTTTACAGAATTTGCTTATAAAACTCCTTGAAATTATTCCATCTAAATTGTAACATAGTTTCTACAGTGGTCACATAAAATTTATTTCATTCTTTTTCTCAATGAACATTTAGTGGTAAAAAAACAAAACAAAACCCACTGGGCATTAGCACTGTGAAGTTAACAACTCTCATCATTGTTCTTCTTAGCTTGCTTTTGCATTCTTCACCATTATGTTGTATCTCTTAATTTTAAGACAGTCTTTTAAAATGTTGCCTATTGACAAAACCAGAATATTGTCATCAAATTTTATTGCCTTCTTCTTCAACACTACACAGGATGATTCTACTTCTTCCCATGCTGGAAAACTATTTAATAACATCCAGATAAAAGAACTGAGTCCTTCAAGGGATTAGAACATTTCCAAAGATAGAGCAAGTGCCGTACCAATTATCCACTTCAAATTGGAGTTTCTCTTCCTAGTCGTAAAGAATATTTTCCCTTTTGAGAACAGAGTTGACACCAGAGGGGTGCATTTTGAGGACAGGGCTCAATTCTTTCTTCAGCACAATTGTTATCTAATTCCCTTTCTAAATGATATTCATTTTGACTTTTATAAGCCAATGCTAACAAAATTATAAAGTCAACAATCACTCATTTCAACAGCCAATTCTCAACTGGGTGCTTCTTAGGAGTCACGCACTGCTCTCTGGACCTCACACATACTAATTTACTTAATCCTCCTCACAATCCCGTAAGATAAGTATTCTTCCAACCCTGAGTTCAGGGATGGGTGAGTGGACACTAAAGCCCAGAGAGGTTAACTAACTTGCCTAAAGACACACAGTCATTCCTGGTGGAGCTGGGATGGGAACCAAGGCAGTCTGAGCCCAGAGCCAGGCCTCCTGAGCAGAACCGCCACTTGAAATTACTTCTCAGGCATCAGGGGAACACTCCAGTATCACTGTTTGCTCTTCTTTCAGTTTGCGAAATCCTATTGCTAAAGAGATAACTCTGAACAAGAAGGACATAGGCCTCACTCACTGAGAGATTATTTTAAAAGTCAACAAGAATATTTTGGGCCTTGTTTTAGAATTAAAGCATGATTTCAGTGCTTCAAATAAATCGAGGATTCTCCCAACTGCAATTGTTCAAGAGAGCCAACAGGTTTGGTTAATGCAAGAGAATTGAAGAATATTGAACATCAGCAAAATCATATCATAAAAACCTTTCACTCACTTCAAACAGCATAGATGATGAAGCAAGAGAGCAATATCTTGACAGTAACCTCACTGTCAAGGGAAAGGGCATCAGGTGCTCTTTGATATGACAAGGACAGACAACACCTTAGAATCATTCATGTTTTCCTTCAGTTTCTCTCTCTTTTTTTTTTTTTTATTTATTTTTGCAAGAGAGAGAGAGCATGAGAGAGAGCACGAGTGAAGGGGAGGAGCAGAGGGAGAAGAAGACTCCCCGTCAGCAGGGAGCCTGATGAAGGACTTAATCCTAGGACCCTGCCTGGGTCATGACCTGAACTGAAGGTAGATGCTTAACCAACTGAGCCACCCAGGTGCCCAGCTTCAGTTTCAAATAAACATTTTCTGCATATTTATACAAACACCCACAAAGTTTTTTTTTTTTTTTTTTAAACTTATATTACCTCCACAAAAGCAGTACAGTTTTTCTCATTAACTCAGTAAGGGAGTCTCAGCAACAAGTCTCAGCAACAAGTTTGCTGTTGTCTTTGAGGTCTTTGGAAGGGATTTCAAATAGCCTTATAAACAGGCTCTGTTATCCTTTGAAAAATGCTGCACAAGCAAAGGAAATATTTTTTCTGCATTGTAGTTACTTGCACCTGAGGCTGTGCCCTAACAATTAACGTGTGTAGATCTCTGATGACTTACATAATTGCATGGGAAGCCATTATAATTCTTTAATTATCACAGTGGATTTCAACTGGGCACCTGAAATTTTGCTTGCAATTTTGGAGTCAGAAAATACTTCTGGTAATTATACATTCAAATAGTCATCTAAGTAGAAAGATTGATCATACACTGTGTGCAAAACCATTATAGTGTATGTTGCAATTCTTGTATCTTTCCAATTCTTAACCCTCAAAGAAGGTGTTGTATCACCTTCTTTGGTACTATATGAGGAAATCACTCATCTCTTTTGCTTAGCCATTGGTATGTGTGGGTTTATATTTGACTTTCCACCATTTTTGATGTTAAACACACGTACGAAGAACTTCAAAGGGACCCTTTACCCCGTTGATAAAATTGTATAGAATTTTGGCATTTGGGATTTAAAATATACATGAAAAACAGATAATAGTCCAAGATATTTAAAAAAGAAATGAAAATATTGAATTTGATGATCTCACAAGCTGTGCCAGTGAATCTGTCACAAGTCCAAATTCATAGATAATCATAAACGAGTTGAACCATTGAAAGGGTTGCAAACTTGTAAAACAGACAATACACTGAACTTGATATGATTCAAAAAAATAATGAGCTTCCAGTTTACCTGTAAGGGCCAGTTGTAAACATAGCCTTCCTGAACAAACCCAGAGCTAATCTCACAGAAGGTTTGGAAAGGCTCATTTTCAGGGATTAGTGGACTTTCAGAAGGGAGAATGTTTAGGTATGGACATGCTCTCAACTGTGTTAATATACTTGGTGGAGTAAGGCTCTTCTTGAACACATCTTCAGGGGAGTGAGGCATTTACTGGATGCTTCCCTAGGGTCTAGGGCTCTTACTGATTTGCTGACTTCCAGAAGCTAGTTATTTGTGTGTGGCTGTTGGTGACTGGCTGGTTTTCTGATTGTGTGCTCTGCCCAATTCTAACAGTGTTTGCTTGTCCACGACTTGGGACTTTGGCCAAAGAAAGCCTTTCTCTTTCTTGAATATGAAAAACAAATGTTTTTAATTCTGAGTCTTTCCTTTTGGATTTCCCTCAGACAAGTCTACATGGAGAGTTGAGAGATCACATAGGTCTTTATTTCTGAAGGGATGATTTTTGGCTTGTATTGCCATTTAAATGATTTAAACACCAGATATTGTAGT